GGTATAAAATACGTCCTTACTATAGAAATTGTAACTCTAACCTATTATATACCTTTTTACAATATCATGTATATTTCTTGATTATGACCACAACAATTCCAAAACCTGACTACTTTTAAAATCTTTGAATCTATTGAGTTTAATAGGTATGGAAACTATAATGCTCTAACAAACAATTTGGATGAAGCCTTAATTAAAATACCTTAAAACTCAAACCAGTTTTGAAGATTAGCCAACACAATATTTATAGAAACTTAGTCAATATATAATAATTCAACTTAACATATGATCTATAATAACATTGCAAGTTCAATTTTTCTTGACAGAAACATATTTAGGGCTAAAATGTGCATTCGTTATAGGTTCAAGTATATAAAGAAATAAACCAAATAAAACATAGTAAAAATAGATGGACGAAAAAGCAAACAACATATGATGACAGAAGGCTAGAGAGCACAAATGAGTAAGATGCAAAGAAGTTGTTCCGAATTGCATTTCATCATCTGTGCTCTCTATCTTCTGTCAACACTATTAATGCCTCTCAACCCATAATTATAGATTAACTTTCGATTTCCGTTTAAAAAATATTGAATGCTTAAAAAGCGAAAAAACCTCAAGTGGATAGCAAGATCTTGATGGAAAAAACCAAGTTTGATGATCACTGTTATCCCTACAAAGNATTTTTTTTTAACTATATGATATAAATATATATGGGTGTAGAGAAGTACCAAAAGGGTTGTTGATGAGATGATGAAATTTCTTGAAGCCACTATTTATAGACGCATAGAGAGTAGCGAGATGATTTTCTCCACTCCAATTGCATTGTTCTTTTTGCTTCCACAAGTTTGGAATAATATTGTAATTAAGTGTGTTCCTTTGTATATAAGTATATACGGATTTGTCAATCTATTCTCGTTAACAAAAAAAGAAAACATTTTTTAGTTAATTGTTTTGGAGTTATCTATCTATTTTGCAAGATTGATTTGCCTCTTTGGGATAAAAAAAGGTCAGAACTATCTTAATATCTTAATAATAAGTGTGACGTCCACAAATTATATATATTAATGGAAAATCATATATAGCATATTCAAAAGAAATAAAAAGAAAGGAATTTTATTTTCTAAGAACGATCATTACAAATTACTAATTACAATTTCACTAAAACCACCAACATGTATTTAGAATCGAATCCCTAAACGTTAATAGCCTCAATTGGTGACAAAAACAAGCCCTAATTACAACGAAAAGTATGAAAACATGATTTTTGAGGCTAAACGTAAAATATGGATCAAAACGTAAAAGTTCTTAGACGCACTTTGTTGGGGTCGGATTTCACCCGCTTAACGTCAACGTTCAAAGAACAGACAACTGGAGAAATGACCCTCGAGACTCTCAACGTCTAAGGCGGAATGGTGCCTAAGTCCTCACGCGAAGCAAAGCGAATGATCATGTCAAGAGCCTGACCC